ATCCAGACCAGATGGAGGACCTGCTCCTAGACACGACCGCAACACATGATGTAGTCAGCCGGATCCGGGCCGTATCCAGATCAGATGGTGGACCTGCGCCTAGACACGACCACAACACATGATGTAGTCAGTCGGATCCGGGCCGTATCCAGATCAGATGGAGGACCTGCGCCTAGACACGACCACAACGCATGATGTAGTCAGCCGGATCCGGGCCGTATCCAGACCAGATGGAGGACCTGCTCCTAGACACGACCACAACACATGATGTAGTCAGCCGGATCCGGGCCGTATCCAGATCAGATGGTGGACCTGCGCCTAGACACGATCACAACAAATGATGTAGTCATCCGGATCCGGGCCGTATCCAGACCAGATGGAGGACCTGCTCCTAGACACGACCACAACACATGATGTAGTCATCCGGATCCGGGCCGTATCCAGATCAGATGGAGGACCTGCGCCTAGACACGACCACAACGCATGATGTAGTCAGCTGGATCCGGGCCGTATCCAGATCAGATGGAGGACCTGCGCCTAGACACGACCACAACGCATGATGTGGTCAGCCGGATCCGGGCCGTATCCAGATCAGATGGAGGACCTAGGCCTAGACACGACCACAACGCATGATGTAGTCAGCCAGATCCAGGCCGTATCCAGATCAGATGGTGGACCTGCGCCTAGACACGACCACAACACATGATGTAGTCAGCCGGATCCGGGCCGTATCCAGATCAGATGGTGGACCTGCGCCTAGACACGACCGCAACACATGATGTAGTCAGCCGGATCCGGGCCGTATCCAGATCAGATGGAGGACCTGCGCCTAGACACGACCACAACGCATGATGTAGTCAGCTGGATCCGGGCCGTATCCAGATCAGATGGTGGACCTGCGCCTAGACACGACCACAACACATGATGTAGTCAGTCGGATCCGGGCCGTATCCAGATCAGATGGAGGACCTGCGCCTAGACACGACCACAACGCATGATGTAGTCAGCCGGATCCGGGCCGTATCCAGACCAGATGGAGGACCTGCTCCAAGACTCGACCACAACACATGATGTAGTCAGCCGGTTCCGGGCCGTATCCAGATCAGATGGTGGACCTGCGCCTAGACACGACCACAACAAATGATGTAGTCATCCGGATCCGGGCCGTATCCAGACCAGATGGAGGACCTGCTCCTAGACACGACCACAACACATGATGTAGTCATCCGGATCCGGGCCGTATCCAGATCAGATGGTGGACCTGCGACTAGACACGACCACAACACATGATGTAGTCATCCGGATCCGGGCCGTATCCAGACCAGATGGAGGACCTGCGCCTAGACACGACCACAACGCATGATGTAGTCAGCCGGATCCGGGCCGTATCCAGACCAGATGGAGGACCTGCTCCTAGACACGACCACAACACATGATGTAGTCAGCCGGATCCGGGCCGTATCCAGATCAGATGGTGGACCTGCGCCTAGACACGACCACAACACATGATGTAGTCAGTCGGATCCGGGCCGTATCCAGATCAGATGGAGGACCTGCGCCTAGACACGACCACAACACATGATGTAGTCAGCCGGATCCGGGCCGTATCCAGACCAGATGGAGGACCTGCTCCTAGACACGACCACAACACATGATGTAGTCAGCCGGATCCGGGCCGTATCCAGATCAGATGGTGGACCTGCGCCTAGACACTATCACAACAAATGATGTAGTCATCCGGATCCGGGCCGTATCCAGACCAGATGGAGGACCTGCTCCTAGACACGACCACAACACATGATGTAGTCATCCGGATCCGGGCCGTATCCAGATCAGATGGTGGACCTGCGACTAGACACGACCACAACACATGATGTAGTCATCCGGATCCGGGCCGTATCCAGATCAGATGGAGGACCTGCGCCTAGACACGACCACAACGCATGATGTAGTCAGCCGGATCCGGGCCGTATCCAGACCAGATGGAGGACCTGCGCCTAGACACGACCACAACGCATGATGTAGTCAGCCGGATCCGGGCCGTATCCAGATCAGATGGAGGACCTGCGCCTAGACACGACCACAACGCATGATGTAGTCAGCTGGATCCGGGCCGTATCCAGATCAGATGGAGGACCTGTGCCTAGACACAACCACAACACATGATGTAGTCAGCCGGATCTGGGCCGTATCCAGATCAGATGGAGGACCTGCGCCTAGACACGACCACAACGCATGATGTAGTCAGCCGGATCCGGGCCGTATCCAGATCAGATGGAGGACCTAGGCCTAGACACGACCACAACGCATGATGTAGTCAGCCAGATCCGGGCCGTATCCAGATCAGATGGAGGACCTGTGCCTAGACACAACCACAACACATGATGTAGTCAGCCGGATCTGGGCCGTATCCAGATCAGATGGAGGACCTGCGCCTAGACACGACCACAACGCATGATGTAGTCAGCCGGATCCGGGCCGTATCCAGATCAGATGGAGGACCTAGGCCTAGACACGACCACAACAAATGATGTAGTCAGCCGGATCCGGGCCGTATCCAGACCAGATGGTGGACCTGCGCCTAGACACGACCACAACAAATGATGTAGTCACCCGGATCCGGGCCGTATCCAGACCAGATGGAGGACCTGCGCCTAGACACGACCACAACAAATGATGTAGTCAGCCGGATCCGGGCCGTATCCAGATCAGATGGAGGACCTGCGCCTAGACACGACCACAACGCATGATGTAGTCAGCCGGATCCGGGCCGTATCCAGACCAGATGGAGGACCTGCGCCTAGACACGACCACAACGCATGATGTAGTCAGCCGGATCCGGGCCGTATCCAGACCAGATGGTGGACCTGCGCCTAGACACGACCACAACGCATGATGTAGTCAGCCGGATCCGGGCCGTATCCAGACCAGATGGAGGACCTGCGCCTAGACACGACCACAACGCATGATGTAGTCAGCCGGATCCGGGCCGTATCCAGATCAGATGGAGGACCTGTGCCTAGACACAACCACAACACATGATGTAGTCAGCCGGATCCGGGCCGTATCCAGATCAGATGGAGGACCTGCGCCTAGACACGACCACAACACATGATGTAGTCAGCCGGATCCGGGCCGTATCCAGATCAGATGGAGGACCTAGGCCTAGACACGACCACAACGCATGATGTAGTCAGCCAGATCCAGGCCGTATCCAGATCAGATGGAGGACCTGCGCCTAGACACGACCACAACGCATGATGTAGTCAGCCAGATCCGGGCCGTATCCAGATCAGATGGAGGACCTGCGCCTAGACACGACCACAACGCAGCCCTGAATGTCAGTGAATACCATGAACTCTAGACGAGCCCTAGAGACAGATCCCCTGTGAAGACATGACAGCCATCGGCACAGACGAGTCCTACACAGAACAGAATATATGGCCAGCTTCAACTCCTCCGTATGCCAGCGTGATGCATCACAATATTCAAGCAGGAGGAACTGGATAAAATATGCTGTATGATACTAATATACAATCTGACTTGATGGAGCCTGTATCATAATGACACAGTGTTTGTTCGTTGGCCAGAGAAGAATTCCATTCTGTCACTGATGGAGTTTGTGTTCGTCACTGTGGTCTGTGTGGGTCCTAACGCCCCAGTGTAGTGACGGGGACACTATACTGTCAAAGAGCACCGTCCTTCAGATGAGACGTTAAACCGAGGTCCTGACTCTCTGTGGTCATTAAAGATCCCTTCAATAAAGAGTAGGGGTGTAACCCCGGCATCCTGGCCAAATTTGCCCCTTGGCCTCTGTCCATCATGGCCTCCTAATCATCACCATATACTGATTGGCTTCATCACTGTCTCCTCTCCACCAGTAAGCTGGTGTGTGGTGGCCGTTCTGGCGCAATATGACTGCCGTCGCATCATCCAGGTGGAGCTGCACACTGGTGGTGGTTGAGGAGATTCCCCCTTCCATGTAAAGCGCTTTGAGTACCCAGAAAAGCGCTATATAAATGTAACAAATTATTATAATTATTATTAATCTGACTGTCCTGACGCTGCTGTATGGGAACTGAACTGAGCTGATGATGACATCACTGTTATCTCTGGATCGGCTATATAACTGAATTGAACGTTTCATATTTGATGATCTTTACACAGTTATTAAACGAAACTAAATCAACATTGAACTGACCTTAACAATGACACTATTTTCTTTTTAGAGTTGCTTTACAGAAAAATTTAACTGTTTCCATCACTGAATCATTATTTCCCCATTTATCGCTTTAAAGCTGCTTTGAAACTCTCTGTATTGTTAGGTTTTCTTACTCTTTGTTACAGTTTTCTTTCAGCTAAAAATAAACATTCTGGAGGGGAAAGACTATATATAAACGCAATCAGAGCATAAATGTATGATATAAAAGAGAAGCAAATGTACCAGCCTGCAGAGTTGTGCAGTTGGATAAAGTCCATGTCCAACGGTACTGTAGGCTGGAGAGAACGCTGATTAAAAAAGAGAAAACAAGCACCGAGCCATTTCCCCCGACAAACAGTTTGTTTGAGGCGAGTAGCCTTTATTTAACATAAAAAGCTTAATTCGGCAACTAACTTCTCCGTCTTGATGACATTGCAATATATGACAGGATATGAACCACATGCAATTCCTCTGACTTTGTTCCCATTGGCAGTCGCTCTCAAAAGTTGCTGCTCCTTTCATTTGCATAAATCAGGCAACAATTGGCTTCGTCGTGTAATGCCTCTGTCAGAGCATGTGCACAACACATGCATTTAATGCTTCACATATCCCAATATGCATTGTGTCATGTACACTTGGACAGTGTAACTCAACTATACAAAAACCACAGCGGCTTGACTATTACATGCAAACATACTGACAGATATTTACTAACAAAATAGTACTTGGTCTTCTAAAATTAGAAATATTGTAACGATAGAGTAATGAGTGAATAGCATTGTAGGCGTGATTAACGTACCAACAGATGTGGGCATCTCGCCCCACTGGAGCACCACGTCTTTAGTGATGCGGCCGTAGGTGTTGACATACACACCCTCGTCTTCATAACACACCAGCAGCTCAATGCCATCCGTGTTCGGCAGGATGATGATGGCGTGCGACTGAATATTCATCTGAATCTACAACAAAACAAAGAGAGAGGAAGATGAAGGCTGGGAAACACTGCTGGAAAAATCGAATGCTTGTCACTATCAATACATACGTGAGTGGGCAGATAAATGTCATAGACGGCTCCTGAGTCGACATCCACGGCATGAAACCCAGAGCAGGACCCATAGATGACCTTTAACCTTTGGCCTTCTTCAACTGTGAGGTCAACTAGCAGTGGCTTGTGCACCAGATCACCAAAAGACTACCACAGAAAGAGAGAAATGTTTTTATTGTGAGATTCTTCAAGACGTCTTCTTTTTCAATTTTACCATAAATATCAGCATATTTATAATAAGGCTAATTTTCACTATAACTATAATAACTTTATTAGCATCCACACTAACGCACAATATCGCTTATTATAAGCGCACTGCGCATAAATGCTCAAGCTCTTTAAAGCAGGATGGATTCTGATTGGCTGTCAATGTTTTTATCGTTCATCAGATGGGGGAAAAGAAAAGTGATTCCAACAACATCGTTCCTCTGTGCCGTTATCGTTATAGTGTAACTTTATACACCTCGCCGCCAAGAGACGAGCAAACCGCTAACAACAGCACATCATGCTTGACTCGTTCTCATGGACATATTAGGTTCGTCACCTTGAAAGCCATGAATTTATGGTATGGTTTGGGAGCCCACGCATACACCTCTACTGAATTCTTCAGGGCCAGAACCAAGAACTTGATCCTCTCGTACTTCACTACAGACCAAACAAACAACAGACGTCAGTGCGATACTGAGCAGCGATGAAAGGGATAGCCAGATCAAGAATTCAATAAAATACCAGAGTCGATATAACAAACCAGGACGTTGTTTTAGGGAATGTTTTGGGTAGGAACACATACCGACTTTGTAGTGCACACAGCCCTCCAGGTCTCCTACGGTGGTCCAGCCCTGCTTCTTCTCCACCTCAGGGTCATTGTGGAGGATCTTGTTCCTCAGCCACGAAAGATAGTACACACGCAGTTTATTCTTCTTCCCTAGGATTGGAAGCTGGAATCAACCCGTGCGCTTTGTCTGTGCCCATGACTTATAATAATAATTCATTACTTTTATATAGCGCTATTCTAGGTACTCAAAGCGCTTTACATGTGGAAAGGGGGAATCTCCTCAACCAACACTTACTGAACTTAGTCACATTATTTGACAGATTTAACTCTGTTTATAATGCAGACTTATAATAAAACATTTGTTTAAGAAAAATTTTTTTATATATGCATTAGCATGATTTTCTCTGTATAAAAATGATGATTTTCCCATAAGACTAAAGACAGAATCAAAGAATACTGTCAGGAAATCATGATTTTGCACTGATCTTCAACCAGGGTTTAAATAAACTAAAGCTTTAGGTTTAGAGGATTTCATGAGCTGAGCTGAAACCTTTTCAAATAAAATGGAAAAAAGACCAAACATTTCCGAAGAATTAGCCGTATAACAAATTAGTTCTATGCACCTTTTACATTTATAAAGAACTGCAGCCAGTCTAAATAACTAAGCAACTTCAACGTAAAGTACAGGACTTCCTGTGTGTCATGGAATATTTCAACATGTCTGAACATGATAAAGTACAGCATGTGTCACTACAATTTTAAAACTAGGTTTGCACAGTTTTGTCATGTCTGAGACTTTACCACAAAGACAGACAGAAAAAGAGGAAAATAGGGGAACTACATTGTTTATGAGGGTATGCAAGAGAACCGAATCACAAGAGAGGATGTTATGTAACATTGAAAGCACGCGTGCCGTCACACGAACACACGGAAACATCCTCCTACATACAGATCAATACCCAGAGATCCTGCACGAGGCATCGGTACCTGATATTGTCACTAGTACATTAAGTCCCTCCAAAACATCCATTTGTTGAAAGCGTCTACGACTAATAAGCGGGTAGACTTTCCCTTGACCACTGCGATCCAGTAGCATGAGTCCGCTCTCTGTCCCGACTAACAGATTAACACCTGAGGGAGAGAGAAACAGAGGAAAATGCTTTAACTCACTCTCTTAAACACTTATCTAACATCTCTCCAGTGAACTCCAGTGTCGAGTCAGCATGAAACTGTTTAAAGCCAGTTCCTCTTCTGTAATGTGACCCTTTTCTGATACCAAATATTCATGGAAACGAGTTGCTTCAGAGGCAGAAGAGGTTATTTTGATAAACGGTCAAACGTTGGTTTTACATGCACTGATCAGTCATACACAAGAAGACCAGGAATGTAAATTAAGAAAGTAAAAGGGGTCAATTTTACAAAAGTAAACAAAAGCGCCAATCTCATTGGTCGGCCAGTTAACGCGGCGTGTCAAACAAAACAAAAACGAACATGAGGCGTTTTTTAAAAATGACGCTTTTACGTCTGACATTTTGCGCGTCGGTGTGCATACTCACATTGGCACCCTTTGTTTAGTCCCGAGGTGTTAAACGTCGGCGAAAAGCACACGCGATAATCTTCCCGGTGTGCACACGTCTTTAGGCTTCAATTAAATTACTTGTGACGTAATCGATGTACAACTAATCCAAATAATGTTTGGCATGTGTTAGAAATAAATGCATCAATGTGCACTGGCATATCGAGACAACAGACACTTTGATTGAGCTTGTTAGACTGGTGTTGGACTGGTGTTGGAGTGGTGTTGGACTGGTGTTGGAGTGGTGTTGGACTGGTGTTGGACTGGTGTTGGACTGGTGTTGGAGTGGTGTTGGACTGGTGTTGGACTGGTGTTGGAGTGGTGTTGGACTGGTGTTGGACTGGTGTTGGACTGGTGTTGGACTGGTGTTGGAGTGGTGTTGGACTGGTGTTGGACTGGTGTTGGAGTGGTGTTGGACTGGTGTTGGAGTGGTGTTGGACTGGTGTTGGACTATTGTTGGACTGGTGTTGGAGTGGTGTTGGAGTGGTGTTGGAGTGTTGTTGGACTGGTGTTGGACTGGTGTTGGACTGGTGTTGGAGTGGTGTTGGACTGGTGATGGAATGGTGTTGGAGTGGTGTTGGAGTGGTGTTGGACTGGTGTTGTTGGACTGGTGTTGGAGTGGTGTTGGACTGGTGTTGGACTGGTGTTGGACTGGTGTTGGAGTGGTGTTGGACTGGTGTTGGACTGGTGTTGGACTGGTGTTGGAGTGGTGTTGGACTGGTGATGGAATGGTGTTGGAGTGGTGTTGGACTGGTGTTGGACTGGTGTTGGACTGGTGTTGGAGTGGTGTTGGACTGGTGTTGGACTGGTGTTGGAGTGTTGTTGGACTGGTGTTAGAGTGTTGTTGGACTGGTGTTGGAGTGTTGTTGGACTGGTGTTGGACTGGTGTTGGACTGGTGTTGGAGTTGGTGTTGGAGTGGTGTTGGACTGGTGTTGGACTGGTGTTGGAGTGGTGTTGGACTGGTGTTGGACTGGTGTTGGACTGGTGTTGGACTGGTGTTGGACTGGTGTTGGACTGGTGTTGGACTGGTGTTGGACTGGTGTTGGACTGGTGTTGGACTGTTGTTGGACTGGTGTTGGACTGGTGTTGTTGGACTGGTGTTGGACTATTGTTGGACTGGTGTTGTTGGACTGGTGTTGGACTATTGTTGGACTGGTGTTGGACTGGTGTTGGAGTGTTGTTGGACTGGTGTTGGACTATTGTTGGACTGGTGTTGGACTGGTGTTGGACTGGTGTTGGACTGGTGTTGGACTGGTGTTGTTGGACTGGTGTTGGACTATTGTTGGACTGGTGTTGTTGGACTGGTGTTGGAGTGTTGTTGGACTGGTGTTGGACTGGTGTTGGAGTGTTGTTGGACTGGTGTTAGAGTGTTGTTGGACTGGTGTTGGAGTGGTGTTTCACTGGTGTTGTTGGACTGGTGTTGGAGTGTTGTTGGACTGGTGTTGGAGTGGTGTTGGACTGGTGTTGGACTATTGTTGGACTGGTGTTGGAGTGGTGTTGGAGTGGTGTTGGACTGGTGTTGTTGGACTGGTGTTGGAGTGTTGTTGGACTGGTGTTGGAGTGTTGTTGGACTGGTGTTGGAGTGTTGTTGGAGCGGTGTTGGAGTGGTGTTGGAGTATTGTTGGAGTGGTGTTGGAGTATTGTTGGACTGGTGTTGGACTGGTGTTGGACTATTGTTGGACTGGTGTTGGACTGGTGTTGGACTGGTGTTGGACTGGTTTTGGAATGGTGTTGAAGTGGTGTTGGAGTATTGTTGGACTGGTGTTGGACTGGTGTTGGACTATTGTTGGACTGGTGTTAGAGTGTTGTTGGACTGGTGTTGGAGTGTTGTTGGACTGGTGTTGGAGTGTTGTTGGACTGGTGTTGGACTGGTGTTGGACTATTGTTGGACTGGTGTTAGAGTGCTGTTGGACTGGTGTTGGAGTGTTGTTGGACTGGTGTTGGACTGGTGTTGGAGTGGTGTTGGACTGGTGTTGGAGTATTGTTGGAGTGGTGTTGGAGTATTGTTGGACTGGTGTTGGACTGGTGTTGGACTGGTGTTGGACTATTGTTGGACTGGTGTTGGAGTGGTGTTGGACTGGTGTTGGACTGGTTTTGGAATGGTGTTGAAGTGGTGTTGGAGTATTGTTGGACTGGTGTTGGACTGGTGTTGGACTATTGTTGGACTGGTGTTAGAGTGTTGTTGGACTGGTGTTGGAGTGTTGTTGGACTGGTGTTGGACTGGTGTTGGAGTGTTGTTGGACTGGTGTTAGAGTGTTGTTGGACTGGTGTTGGAGTGGTGTTGGACTGGTGTTGTTGGACTGGTGTTGGAGTGGTGTTGGACTGGTGTTGGACTATTGTTGGACTGGTGTTGGACTATTGTTGGACTGGTGTTGGACTGGTGTTGTTGGACTGGTGTTGGACTGGTGTTGGAGTGTTGTTGGACTGGTGTTAGAGTGTTGTTGGACTGGTGTTGGAGTGGTGTTGGACTGGTGTTGTTGGACTGGTGTTGGAGTGGTGTTGGACTGGTGTTGGACTATTGTTGGACTGGTGTTGGACTATTGTTGGACTGGTGTTGGACTGGTGTTGTTGGACTGGTGTTGGAGTGTTGTTGGACTGGTGTTGGAGTGTTGTTGGACTGGTGTTGGAGTGTTGTTGGAGCGGTGTTGGACTGGTGTTGAAATGGTGTTGGAGTGGTGTTGGAGTATTGTTGGACTGGTGTTGGACTGGTGTTGGACTGGTGTTTGACTATTGTTGGACTGGTGTTGGAGGGGTGTTGGACTGGTGTTGGACTGGTGTTGGAGTGGTTTTGGAATGGTGTTGGAGTGGTGTTGGAGTATTGTTGGACTGGTGTTGGACTGGTGTTGGACTATTGTTGGACTGGTGTTGGACTGGTGTTGGACTGGTGTTGGAGTGGTGTTGGACTGGTGTTGGACTGGTGTTGGACTGGTGTTGGAGTGGTTTTGGACTGGTGTTGGACTGGTGTTGGACTGGTGTTGGACTGGTGTTGGACTGGTTTTGGACTGGTGTTGGACTGGTGTTGGACTGGTGTTGGACTGGTGTTGGACTGGTGTTGGAGTGGTGTTGGAGTGTTGTTGGACTGGTGTTGGACTGGTGATGGAATGGTGTTGGACTGGTGTTGGACTGGTGTTGGACTGGTGTTGGACTGGTGGTGTTGGACTGGTGGTGTTGGACTGGTGTTGGACTGGTGTTGGAGTGGTGTTGGACTGGTGTTGGACTGGTGTTGGACTGGTGTTGGAGTGGTGTTGGAGTGGTGTTGGAGTGGTGTTGGACTGGTGTTGGACTGGTGTTGGAGTGGTGTTGGACTGGTGTTGTTGGACTGGTGTTGTTGGACTGGTGTTGTTGGACTGGTGTTGTTGGACTGGTGTTGGACTGGTGTTGGACTGGTGTTGGACTGGTGTTGGACTGGTGTTAGAGTGGTGTTGGACTGGTGTTGGACTGGTGTTGGACTGGTGTTGGAGTGGTGTTGGAGTGGTGTTGGAGTGGTGTTGGAGTGGTGTTGGACTGGTGTTGGACTGGTGTTGGACTGGTGTTGGACTGGTGTTGGACTGGTGTTGGAGTGGTGTTGTTGGACTGGTGTTGTTGGACTGGTGTTGGAGTGGTGTTGGAGTGGTGTTGGACTGGTGTTGGACTGGTGTTGGAGTGGTGTTGGAGTGGTGTTGGACTGGTGTTGGACTGGTGTTGGAGTGGTGTTGGACTGGTGTTGGAGTGGTGTTGGAGTGGTGTTGGAGTGGTGTTGGACTGGTGTTGGACTGGTGTTGGACTGGTGTTGGAGTGGTGTTGGAGTGGTGTTGGACTGGTGTTGGACTGGTGTTGGACTGGTGTTGGACTGGTGTTGGACTGGTGTTGGAGTGTTGTTGGACTGGTGTTGGACTGGTGTTGGAGTGGTGTTGGAGTGGTGTTGGAGTGGTGTTGGACTGGTGTTGGAGTGGTGTTGGACTGGTGTTGGACTGGTGTTGGAGTGGTGTTGGACTGGTGTTGGACTGGTGTTGGAGTGGTGTTGGACTGGTGTTGGAGTGGTGTTGGACTGGTGTTGGACTGGTGTTGGAGTGGTGTTGGACTGGTGTTGGACTGGTGTTGGAGTGGTGTTGGACTGGTGTTGGACTGGTGTTGGACTGGTGTTGGAGTGGTGTTGGAGTGGTGTTGGAGTATTGTTGGAGTGGTGTTGGACTGGTGTTGGACTGGTGTTGGAGTGGTGTTGGACTGGTGTTGGAGTGGTGTTGGAGTGGTGTTGGACTGGTGTTGGACTGGTGTTGGAGTGGTGTTGGACTGGTGTTGGAGTGGTGTTGGACTGGTGTTGGACTGGTGTTGGACTGGGTTAGAGCGGGACTCACCCCACAGAGCAGCGCACAAGATCTCAGAGTTGAACCTCTTCTTGTATTTGCGTATCTCTGGCGTGTCGTTCTGTGGCCGAGTGTTGACAGGATTGACGTTGACCACCGAACCCTTACGGGACGCGTCCTGACGCAGAGCCTCCTGCAGTCGAGCATCATTACTGTAACCTGAGGAACATCACAATGTTTGGGCAAATCAACTCACATTTATCTGGGTAGCACTTTCACACACACAGCTTTACAGAAAACCATGGTCTTAATGTTTATAATATATAAACATCGTATTTATCAGATTAGAGCTGGATGATAATATAGCTACATTTTGCAGCGATACAAGTGATCAAGCAGTTGAGATTCGCTCTATAGTATATATTGCTTTATGTGAGTGTACTGTATGTATATGGATAAATATATATTTCTCACAGGAAAAACAAAACACAGCAACATTTAAGAGAATATTTGTTGCATCAAGTTATTCTGACATTATTTTCATGACAATTAGGTAAGATTTACCCCCAAATTCTGATTACTGTAATGCACTTACATTTTTTCACTTATATTTCCCATTATTGACAATAAATTAAGTCAATAAATTAAATACAGTACAACAAATACTAGTCTTCTGTATAAATACTTTGAACAGAAAAAAAGGTCAACAGAATTGAGAATGAGATTTTTTTTTTTTTTTTTGCTTTCTGGAAATAAGAATTTAAGGGGAAAAGTGTTGAATCGTCCCCAAATCATTTCTTCCTTTGTCCAAAAAAAGAGGCTCAATTTCTTTAAGCATTCTTTTCTTTTAATATGTTTTTTATTCCAGCACTTTCCAAGATCTGTCAGAAAGGTCAAACGATTGACACTGATTATTAAAATGTCATAATAATTCTCTGCATCTGAGGCATAATGTTGATCTTTTGTAACTCATCCCTAGTGTTCTCCCAGAGCAGTAGAAGCGCCCCGTCGGCTCTCACACACTCACCAGCGTTATTGAGCGCGCTGCCGGTGGACGGAGACACCTGGAGGAGGCGCGGGTCGATGAAGGGAGTGAACGACGAGGAAGACTTGTGCTTCGGCACAGTGGGAGTCTGTGAGACGACCGGCAGCAAACAATCAGAAAACACCGGAAATTACAGTACACTTCAGGAAATGTAGGAAAGTTAAAAAACACTCAACTAGAACTAAACGCACAAATGATAAAATATGAATGACTTGATGGTGGTTGGTGGAAAAAATGATGGAAACAATGATCACTGCAATTCTTAGAATAAGAAAGAAGGAACAACAAAGGAGGAAATGTATGCATGCAAGCTGAAGGAGAAACACCTCTGGCAAAAGCATTTCTCTTTTCTTGGTTCCTGGGGTTCAGTTACGTGACGTCTGATTTCCTGCTGCAATCGTTCTGATGGATAACAGCGAAGAAGAGTTTCTTCTCATCGCACAAGCGCACATAGCTCATATTTTGTCGTTTTAGCAGAAAAAATAGATTTGTTCAGCCTGTGCAGATCAGTTCAGTTTGCAAGAAATGGTGTTTTAAGGGCTTGACGACACGTAAACCGCTGTCTTCCAAAGATCGGGAAATACTGGTGCAAAACCTTTGCCAAAAATCTGAATCCAATTGGCCAGTTTTTAAAATCAATAATATAAAGAAAACTCACAATTAAATGTCAAATAGTGCTGAACTTTATTAGAAAATTATCAACAATGATTTAACCATGACGATGTTTTGTAATTAAATACATTAATAAAATTAGCAATGCTTCATCACCACTGACACACAAAAGTACTGCTTTTATTCATTTTATTTTATTGTCATATGAAATATACACTCACCGGCCACTTTATTAGGTACACCTGTCCAACTGCTCGTTAACACTTAATTTCTAAGCAGCCAATCACATGGCGGCAACTCAGTGCATTTAGGCATGTAGACATGGTCAAGACAATCTCCTGCAGTTCAAACCAAGCATCAGTATGGGGAAGAAAGTTGATTTGAGTGACTTTGAACGTGGCATGATTGTTGGTGCCAGAAGGGCTGGTCTGAGTATTTCAGAAACTGCTAATCTACTGGGATTTTCACACACAACCATCTCTAGGGTTTACAGAGAATGGTCCGAAAAAGAAAAAACATCCAGTGAGCGGCAGTTCTGTGGGCGGAAATGCCTTGTTGATGCCAGAGGTCAGAGGAGAATGGCCAGACTGGTTCGAGCTGATAGAAGGGCAACAGTGACTGAAATAACCACTCGTTACAACCGAGGTATGCAGCAAAGCATTTGTGAAGCCACAACACGCACAACCTTGAGGCGGATGGGCTACAACAGCAGAAGACTCCACCGGGTACCACTCATCTCCACTACAAATAGGAAAAAGAGGCTACAATTTGCAAGAGCTCACCAAAATTGAACAGTTGAAGACTGGAAAAATGTTGCCTGGTCTGATGAGTCTCGATTTCTGTTGAGACATTCAGATGTTAGAGTCAGAATTTGGCGTAAACAGAATGAGAACATGGAACCATCATGCCTTGTTACCACTGTGCAGGCTGGTGGTGGTGGTGTAATGGTGTGGGGGATGTTTTCCTGGCACACTTTAGGCCCCTTAGTGCCAATTGGGCATCGTTTAAATGCCACGGCCTACCTGAGCATTGTTTCTGACCATGTCCATCCCTTTATGGCCACCATGTACCCATCCTCTGATGGCTACTTCCACCATGTCACAAAGCTCTAATCATTTCAAATTGGTTTCTTGAACATGACAATGAGTTCACTGTACTAAAATGGCCTCCACAGTCACCAGATCTCAACCCAATAGAGCATCTTTGGGATGTGGTGGAACGGGAGATTCGCATCATGGATGTGCAGCCGACAAATCTGCAGCAACTGTGTGATGCCATCATGTCAATATGGACCAAACTCCCTGAGGAATGCTTCCAGCACCTTGTTGAATCTATGCCACGAAGAATTGAGGCAGTTCTGAAGGCAAAAGGGGGTCCAACCCGTTACTAGCATGGGGTACCTAATAAAGTGGCCGGTGAGTTTATATACATATATACACACACACACATATATGTATATATATATAATCAAAATATAAATGAAAGTCAAAAGCACATTTTTAGTAATACCTGGAAACAAATCCTGTTCAAATAGGTTATATGGGCCATTCTATAGAATTGGTTCAAAGTTAGAGTTGGAAACATCTTGAAAAGAAAATTGTCTTTTTCCATAAATCTCTTATAAAGTATTATTTTTTTAAAGTAGGCCAATACATTTTATCATACATATTTCAAAGTTAACCCTCTGGGGACCAGAAACGCGCCCGCACGTTTTGCTCGTTTTTTTTTTAGCAATGCAAAATAAACTCAAACTGCTCTGTTAATTTTGATCTTTCATGTTCGTGTTATACATCAATCGATCCTGTTCAGTTTCTATTTTTTTTCTGTATACTCACAGTAAAAATAAAGTGTTTTGCTTTTTGCCAAATAATGAAAAATGAACATGATGCGAGTTCTTCACTCTCTCTGTCAGCGAAAACTCCAATTTGAAACGCATTCGGAAATGAACTGTAACTCCACGAAAATTCTGTCAAACAGGCAAACATACCCACGGGCATAAAGCTAGAGATCGCATCTTTTAAATGAAGTCATTTATATAAAAAGAAATATTCTCAGCTTCTGTAATCTGTATGAAAATAGAGCGATTCCAGTCAAGCTCATTACGAGCTCATTCACTTTAATTCGTTCACGCCTACTCCCGGAGCGGGCTATTCACAAGATAATGTGTTAAGCCATCAATGGAAAACAGGTAAACGCCCCCAAGCAAATGCATTAAAGGCTTCAAGTTTCATCATTCAGTTCACCTGCGCGTTGGGAAGATGGCACGATACACCGGTGTAGAAGCTCTTCAGCTCGTCCTGGATACTAGCGACGAAAAATCCACATTTTCATCAGAAGAAGAGCGCGACTCTGATGACGACCGTTTGATCGAGCCGTGGATAGAATTTCGTATGAGTAAGTATTTAGTCTTACTTCCATTAGTTGACAAGCTATTCAATACTGTTCGACACTGTGAATCATGGTATACTTGTTAACAAATTAGCTTCTTTTAATTTTTTCAATGATACCATTAAGTGGATTGATTCATATTTAAAGGGAAGAACAAATTATGTAAAGGTTCAAAACCATAAATCCACTGCTTATACAAATAATACTGGTGTTCCGCAAGAATCTATACTTGGGCCATTGCTGTTCAGTCTTTATGTTAATGATTTGCCTTTAGTTTGTCCCGATATAGAAATCCTATTATATGCTGATGATGCTGTTATTTATGTACATAGCAGCACAAAACAGGAAGCTGCTTTAAAACTAACCAGTGCAATGAACTATATCACAACATGGCTTGACAGATCATGTCTAACGTTAAATGTTGGTAAAACAGTTAGCATGTTCTTTTCAAAACGACCATGTAGCGTTCCAGACCCTGACATAATGATATCAGGTCAAAATTTGCAAGTTGTGACTGAATACAAGTATCTGGGTGTTTGGATTGATTCGAATCTCTGTTTTAGAACTCATGTAAAAAGTATGTGCAAACGAGTTAGATTTAACTTAAGTAATTTTAGATTTGTTAGGGAATCATTCAACTTTGAAACTGCTATGATATATATGAATGCCATGATTATCCCGCATTTTACATACTGTTTGACAAGCTGGGCACAAGCTAATAAGTCTACAATGAAGTCTCTGGAAAGTCTTTATAAACGTACTCTTAAAGTTTTAGTTCAGAAACCTAATAGATTTCACACCTGTCAAATTTTAAATACCCATAGACTGCTGAGTTGGGATAACTTGATCATTTACAGTAACCTTTGTCTAGTGTACAAGATATTGCATAGCACGGCTCCACCTCCACTGAAGAGATTTGTTATGCAGAGAGCAGGCACTCATGTCACCAGAGGTATCACAAGAGGGGACTGTATCATTCCCACTCGAAAAAGTGCTTTTAGTCAGTCAGCATTCTCTGTAACTGCAACTAAACAGTGGAATCTATTGCCAAGTCTGATAAGAGAAACAAAGACTTATCGCTCTTTTGCTGGTCAGCTTAAGAACTGGCTAATTGATAATCAGATATGTGCACATTAGACTACTGACTGCCTACTGAGAATTGTTGCTTGCTAGCAGATTGTCTTGTGTCAAATTTGGTTCTCTCTCATTTTTTAGCCTATGTTGTGTGTTGATGTTGCTTGTTATTTATTGTTGTGTGTTGTATCTGTCTTATAATTACTTTTCTATGCTGTTACTATTTGTGGACTGTAAAAAGTCATTTTTTGTTTTTATATCTCGATTTTAGGTTGCCTTCATAATAACTGGCCAGGGACAACAGATGAAAATTAGCCTGTTGAGCTAACTCTGGCTCATTTACAGTTATTTTACTGTTAATTAATGAGCACTGTCCCTGTAAAATAAACAAATAAATGAAATGAAATGAAATGAAATGAAATGAAATATAAACATGTACTACATATTATACTGGGTGGACTATTTTCCACTTGCCATCCAGAGTATTGACATTTGATATATTCAACACGATCTAATGAAAGTGCATATCTATACCATGAATTTAATATCTCGTGTTAAAGAGAAAAATGTTTTTTTGTTTTTGTTTTTAGTGCAAATGCTACGCACTGTAAACCCCAGTTAGGAAATTTGTATGTGTAAATGATATGTTTAGATCATTGTGTATGAAAGCTAGAATGTAGAAGTTATTTTAGAAAATAGGCCTACTAGATGTTTAGATTATATTTTGACTAGTTTAAATGCTGCCTCATTATTATCATTGACGATGCATGCTCGCAAATTAATGCTCCCAGTTAATGACTTGCGCAAATGTGTTTTGTTTGCGGTGTGCCTCTCCGGCAATGGCCCATTGACACGCATATTTATTGCACTCGCCTAAAATTATTTACATCAGTTATTCATTATAGACTAATGCTGCTATGGTTATATTTATGTAATAATATTCCTCAACTTAAAAAAAAAAAGGAATGTAGTTTCATCACTACCTCCGCCTGCAACTCGGAGTGCGCTTAGCAA